GTATGGGTCAGACTGGTTCATATAGGTCAGACTGGTTCTAATGGGTCAGACTGGTTCTAATGGGTCAGACTGGTTCATATAGGTCAAACTGGTTCTAATGGGTCAGACTGGTTCTAATGGGTCATACTGGTTCCAATGGGTCATACTGGTTGGTATGGGTCAGACAGAGGGCAGCGTCAGTCCTCAGCAGGCGGATGTAGAGAGGAACCCACCGTCCATCTCCACCAGCAGCTGGTTCAGGGTGTTCTCCTGCTCGCTCTGGCCGCCAAAGTTCCCCCGGCCGCGCTTCCGTCCCACCGCGTCGATCTCGTCTATGAAGAGGATGCAGGGAGCGTTCTTCCTGGCCATGACAAATAGATCCCGGACCTGTAGGAGACAGATATCAGCGCCGCCGCCGCCATCATCATCATCTTCCTCCTCCATCAGATGCTCACCCTGGCGGGGCCCACGCCCACAAACATCTCAAGGAACTCGGAGCCGTTGACTGTGATAAAGGGAACGTTGGCCTCGCCCGCCGTTGCTTTGGCCAGCAGAGTCTTCCCTGTTCCTGGGGGCCCCGTCAGAATGGCCCCCTGCAGAGACACAGGACAGGACAGGCCACTGAGATGGTCGCCGAGGGCCGGGTGGACCGACACCTCTGCCCCGCCATGCGGACCGACCCATGGCGGACCTGTTCAGCCTCACCTTGGGGATCTTTGCCCCCAGGTCCTGGTACTGTTTGGGGTTCTTCAGGAAGTTGACGAACTCCATGATCTCCAGCTTGGCTTCCTCGCAGCCGGCCACGTCTTTGAACTTCACATCGATCTCGTCCTTCAGGATCTTGGCCGTGGTCTCGCTGACGCTGAACAGCCCCCCCATTCCCCTGCCAGGGCGGCCGGCCCCCGCTGGGCCGCGCCGCAGCATGAAGAGCAGGAAGCCGATGATGAGGACGGTGGGCAGCATGCTGAGCAGGAACGTTCTGCAGAACAAAGACAGAGGGCGTCAGGCCCGGCCGGACGCCGCGGCGGCTCCACGGCGGCTCCGCTGCTCACCCGTCGCTCTCAGTGGAGTAGACTACGGGCAGGCGGTTCTCGCTCTCGATGCCTAGCTCGCTCTGAGCCGTCTCCAGGTTCCTCTCGAAGGTGTCCACGCTGCCGATGTTGAACCAGACGTACTGCTGCAGGAGGAAACACGCGAGTCAGAGACAGGTAGCCCACCTGGCATCTTAGCCCACCCCTCAAACGCACCCCGTCCAACGGCGTCTTCCCAGGAGAGAAGACCACTTTGACGTAACGCTTGTTGACCACGTCCAGCCGGTCCACCTGACGGAGACAAACCGGCAATCAGAGCCCTGACAGAACGCTGGTGGGCGGGGCGAGGGAACCGCTGTGGCGTCTTACCACTCCCTTGGACAGGTAGTTGTTGACAAAGTCCTTCCAGGTAACCTCCCGTCCTCCATCACGCAGGAAGAAGTAGTAGGTGACGGCGGTCCAGAAGGCCACGCCGCTCAGCAGGTACATGCGGAACTCCTTGTCATCCCAGGGAACGTCACCCTGAAAGAGGCAGCAGCTGAGTGGGGGCGCGTCAGGCTGGGCGACCTACAGCCAGCAGGTACTCACCTTCTGCAGGCGGCTGTACCAGTGGGACTCCTCCTTGCGACCTCTCTTCCCTCCGCCTCCCGACCCTCCTCCGGACCCGCCGTCCGCCCCGCCTCCAGACCTCCCAGAGGGTTTCTGAGCGTTGGCAGCCTTGGATTCTGGAATGGATCAGAACCTGGAGCATCAGCTAGCGTGTTTGGAGGATGCTCAGTTTAGAGCATCAGGATGAACCCAGATGGTTCTGATCCACCAAGGCAGGAACCAGGTCCTCCAGCCTGGTTCTGGTTCTCCTGATCTCACTGAGCATGCTCAGACTGGGTCTGGTTCTGGTTCTGGTGGCGGCTGGTTTACCTTTGGCTGCAGAGTCTGACTCAGTCGTTCTGCTCGCTTTCTGACCTTCTGGGAAGTATTTCTCAAATCCTGAAGAGAGAAAAAAGCGTTAGTCTGTGGAACCGCGTGGGGCGGGTCATTGCCATGGTGATGACAGTGTGAGAAGGTCGCCATGGTGATGACTGTGGTCAGGGGAACAGTGAAGCTGCGTTCATACCAAGCGCAGCAGGAGCAGCAAAAACGCATCTGCTGCTTCATTTTTGATGTTTGTACCAGTTTAGTTCTGCGTTGGAAAAGTGGGTCTGATGCGCGGTGGGCGGAGCTACTATGGGAGAATTATCCTTTGGGCAGTTCTTGGTTCTGACCCACCTTTGGGCGGTTCTTGGTTCTGACCCACCTTTGGGCGGTTCTTGGTTCTGACCCACCTTTGGGCTGTTCTTGGTTCTGACCCACCTTTGGGCAGTTCTTGGTTCTGACCCACCTTTGGGCTGTTCTTGGTTCTGACCCACCTTTGGGC